TCCAGTGAATCCACTTCCCTTCTTTTTGTCTTCCTGTCATTGCTATATTCCAGTGTCTGGAGGGCAACTCTCAGAAAGGCCCTTTCTCTACTGCTTACCATTCCACCATCTTGGTGCTCCTCTACAGTCTCCCTGTGTGTAAAAATAAATATAAGGCCATTTAAAAATTAAAGCATATAAGTAGCAATTCTGCATTATGTTGGAACTGCAAGTCACAATTCACAGAGTTCCAGGTGTTGAAGACATGTGACCTCTCACTTATGCTCACATGTGCCATAGGAAGGTGGCAGGGCAGCAGTTCAGTTTTCCGATGAGGTCCTGAGAAACAATCCCAGACTGTCCAGGTCCAGGGCTGTTGCACTGAATACCACTGGCAATATTTGGCCATCAGATAGCAGCCTTGGTAAAAAAAAATTGGATATCTGAAGTGATTTGCTACTATTACATGGTGGTTTGTGTCATACAATCCAAAAATAAGATAAGAATCATAGTTTTTGAGATGCTCCAAGTATAGAATTGTCATATTGTGTTGCAATCTCTAGGTCAGAGAAAAACATGTCACATTTCATTCACTTTACATAAGACAGGGGGTAACAGATGTTAACTCAGTTTTGAGTTCTTTCCTGTCTTTAAATCTTGCTGTTTGTACAAAAAGGAGTGCAGATGCCGTGCCCTTTCTTAATTTTCATTTTAGTACTCAACTTTCAGCTCACCTGCCTATAGGTATCATTAAGAGACACAAAGAGAACAGCTTGTATGAAACTTATTTACGGGCCAAAAAAATATCTTTAAAATGAAAGTTTGAACTGGGCATAGTGGTATACACCTGTAATCACAGCATTTGGGAAGCTGAGGCAGGAAGATCATTGTGAGTTCAAACCCACCAGAGCTACACAGTGAGACCCTGTCTCAAAAAACAAAACAAAACAAAAAATGCAAGTCTTATTTTTACCATGTCCTTTGTGTCTTGAACATAATATGTGAAACATTAGAAGAAATCTAGGTGAAATTCAGGTTTTTATAAGAAATGACTGGGCTAAGTCTTAAAATTAAAAAGTAGGGAGAAAGTCCACTTTTGAATTCTTTTACCCTAGAGCTCTGAACAAAGTTGTGCAATGAAATTACACAATTGGAAGAAATCTCAAACTTTTTGATCCTAGAGTCCTTTTAAATTTTAAATTTAAAAACCCCAATGGGCTTTTGAGATAACTATATATCTGTATAAGAAACATTTAAAATATCTCTATTCCTTTGTTTACACAAAACAATAGTAGGTCCATTACATGTTCACATAAATAACATTTTTTGAAAAGCATCCCACCATTACTGATACTAGTGGAATTGCTTTATATCTTTCCAAATCTCTTAATATTTGACTTAATAAAAGATATTTTTATGCATGAACACACTGATTCTTAGATATTCTTTTGCATCTGTTATAGCATGTTGTTTCAGTGGAAATATATGGAGAAAAATTGTGTCATACAAAATGTCAGTTGGAAAAAAAGAATATTTTAATAGCTTTTGAGGTAATTATGGATATTCTTCCTTAATGCTGCACTAAAATTAGACAAATGGTAGGTTCCCAAGGGTTGGAATGTGGAATCTGAAATAATATGTATGAAATATTGGCATTCTGTTCAGTGAAATCTACTGGTTTACTATATAATTTGAACACATTTTTACCCATACAGGATTTCATAACATTGTACATTGGTCATTTGCAAAATACAAGTCTCTCAAATGTTGACACATTTCATTACAGAGTTTTAAAACTATACATATTCTTTAATATTACCATCAGAAAAAACTTTCAGTCTTGGGAAGCTATCAAGCTACAATAGTGGACACTAGTTTTCCAGATTTCTAGTTTTCAATTGAACACCCAAATTTTATGATTGGCATGAAGTCCTATCAGTTATTTTCCTTGGGTTGGCATGCTTACTTGGCTCATGTAAAAGTATACATCTATCTGCCAACAACCCAAGTCCAAATCAATGTGGACTTTTGTCTTAGCTTGTCTGCCACTCATTCTTTCCTGTTCCATGAAGAAAGCACACAGTGAACCAGCAGTGCAAACAGTTGCCCCTTGTGCCTCGACTTGCAGGAGATGAGCACTGCGTGTCCCTCCTGTGTTGTCAGACAGGAGAGTAAGCACCCTCATACTCAGGGATTGAGTTTCAGTAAGTCTCCGCACTTACTCAATCTCAGATTGAGTCTCCGCACACATCACTACTCCATCAAGGACATTCTTAAGTGCAGCTACCCTTTTGCTTTCATGGTGAGTGTGTGATGTCCCAGAATGCGGGACTTCCAGCTCAGGCGACACTGCCTGCCTCCATGCTTGGGTGCTGGCGGCTCTGCCACTGCTGTCTCCGCCATCAGTGCAAAGACCAGCACATCCCTTTTTTGGGGAAAAGGCACATCGTGGTTTGCTGTTGTTATGGCAGTAGTTTTCATCTCACTGACCATCAGGTCGCTGTATGCCCATTTAGGACTGCTCACTGGCTCAATAGTTCCACTATATAAACCGGAAGGAAGGAAGCTGAAAAAGCTAACACATCCTGTGGCCTATGGCTGTGATGTAGTGGCACATGGCCAGCTCACATAAATTTGTGTCAAACTGATCGTGAATAGTCAGACTTGGTGGAAGAGAATTAACCTAAGTATCTGAGTCTGAGACTCCTAGAGCACCTATAAAGAAGAGATTTTACCTGGTGTACCCTGCTAAGATGTGCTTCTGTATTTTTAGGGAGCAATCACTTAAAACAGAAGCAAACCCACATCTCAAGTAAAAGGTTTTGGTTTTATTTGGAAGAGAATAAAATCCATTTTATTTTCATTTTCTCTGAAAGTCACTTAATTTGTTCAATGTATGTTTAATTCCTTTTATATAACGAGGTTCTCATCTTTGGATGTTTCTGAAGCTCACAAATCTTTTCAGTTGATGTAACTGACAAATGGGAGTCCATTCCTCAGAGCCTCTCCAAGGAGAGAAGAGTGTGCAGGTGTGGAGTGGGTGCCTTTTGGATGCCAACTAGTAAGAAATCACAACCAGAAAGGAAAGAGCGTAGGTGATCAGTTAGGGGTGGCTGTCTACAAAGGCCTGTTTTGTCATTTCTTTGACTTAAAAGTAAGGTTATGTGGCCATGACTAAAGCTAGGTACATAATAAAGGTCACTTGCTGGGTCTCTAGCCCAAGGACTGACCCAGTCCTAGTGGCTGGATGGTCTGCCTGGCATATGAAGTTCATGCACGCCTACTGCTTTCACATTTCACTGACTTCTTGTGGACCATTAACTTGAGGCCTCCAAAGCAAAGAGATTGTGTAAGATTTGCTAAAGTATACATGCATATGTACAAAATCTTGAAGAAAACATGTTAGCGGGCTTATTTGTCATATATGTATGCATAGTTACTGGCTATACTTTCATTGTTAGCTGTTCCTCCTCAAATGAAGAATCTAGCCCCATTGATAGGTAGTCTGTCTGCTAGAGACCTTTTACTGTGAAGAACTCTAGCTGCCTAGACTTCTGCCTACTTTTGTATATTTCCGTTTGTGTCATGGGTTGGGGATCCTCACATCCTCCTTGGACTTTACTCTGAGCCATTCCTCTGTTCTATTCTAATTATTCACACATTTAGTCAGTGGGTTTGGGGAACTTGCTATAGAAAACTCCCTGTGCTTATCTTTGAGAAGGCACAGCAGGGAATAAGATTGGCCCTGCCCTTGAAAAGATCACTATCCAGTGGGAAGAAATAGACATTTCATCAATTAAATACACGAACCAGAGCAGGAGTCTGGAGGGTAGAAGATGATGGTGGGGATATTGGGGAAAACTTTGTAAGGAAAATTACATTTGATCCAGGACACAGTGGGTAGGTTGGAGTTTCCCAAACAGGAAGAAGGCCATTTCAGATAAAGTGAACAGTGCATGCAGAAGCTCGGCGTGATGAGAGATCATGGAAACATGGCTGCAGTATAACTCAATTTGTGAAAAAAACCTCACTATTCAGAGGTCAGAATAATCCATATTTCTAAAATCTATAAAGTAGGATAGGGAAATAAATAACACATGGACCCCTGATTCAGGTTTAGAAGTGGCCTAAAATCATAAAGAAAAAGATAAAATTCAAATAAGAACAGAACAAAGATTCTTTCTCCTTGCTCTGAATAAATTACCTAATTAGTTAGGATTCACTTGGTCAACCCAAACCCTGATTTTCAGAACAATATTTATGTACCTGGTTTTTCTGTGTGTGTGTGCATGAGTGTATGTGTGCATGCGTGCGTGCATGTTTTGAGTCAGGGTCTCGCTGTGTAGCCCAGGCTAGCCTTGAACTCATGGTAAGCCTCCTGCCTCAGCCTCCTTAGTGTTGGGGTTACAGGCAGGTGGGCACCACCACACTCAGATCATACTGGTTTTTAGGACTGTCAGTAATCTGGAAACTCCAGAGCACCTAGGCAGCTTATCCATGAGTCCTAACAGCATGATACAAGTCCCTCAGCCTTAGACCTGGCCCTCAACTGGCTTCTTTACATGGTGGAAATGACACAAGAACCCACTGCGAAGAGGCCTTCACCAAAGCCACTCTATTTCGGGCTGGAAATCCATACCTGCAGTGTGTTAGGATCTGGGCAAATAATGAGGATTTAACATCTAGCAAACTCAGAGTTTATTATTTTTAAAAATGCAGCAGAATAAGCAGGGAGTTCATCCAAAAAACCCTCTTGTCTCCCAAAGCAAGGTAGGAAGCCCAAATGTCCAAGCACTATCCAGTTCTAATAGTGCCAGGGATTGAGGGTGCAAGGAAAGACTCTCCCATTCCTCTGATTGGTATAGCTTTGGGGATCTAGGAAGAATCCCAGTGAGATCATCTTTTGTTCCCTGCCAGCCGAAAAAGCCTATAATTTTGCAGTCTTCTTTTTCTGCAGCTTGCTGTGGCCCTAGAGTAGTTAGACGTGTTACTTGAATGCATCCTCTTTAACTGTTCTGCAGGATAAGTTTGAATGGAACTGGAAGAATACAGATAAGGAATCCAACAAGGAAAGAACAAGGAATATATGAATGTTCTGTAGCTAATCATCTCGGTTCAGATGTGGAAAGTTCCTCTGTGCTGTATGCAGGTAATGCCAGTGGTTGAAATTTAGAATCTCTGTTTTTGTTTTTAACATTAAACTCTAAAGCAGTGGGTCTCAAATTTGCGGGTTTATCACTGTCACCTGGAGGGCTTGTTCAAACACAGATTGATTGCTGGACCCACTCCCAGGGGTCAGCCTCAGGTCTGGGATAAGTGTGGAAACTGACATTTCTAACATGTTCCTATGCTGAGCTGATGCTGGTGGTCTGAGAATCACACTCCATAAATGTCTGCTCTAGAGTTCACCTTTGAAGAATTGAGGTTAAAGAGCCAGAGTTTAATTGGTGTACTGATATTATAGAAGGAATTGAGAAATCTTCTACATTAATCCTTCTACTGGGATTTGAAGGAAAGCCCAGAGAAGGAAGAGTTTGTCCAAGCACACATCATACATGATATTTCTCCAATACAGCTTTTGTTTTGCAGTAGAAAAATCCAAGTTATTTATACTAAGCTACATCCCTAGTCTTTAAAAAAAATTATCTTGAAACCGAGTCTCATTAACCAGCTAAGTTACCTAGGCTAAACTTAAACCTGGGCTACTTCTGCCTCACACTCAAGAGTTCTGAGGAATTATGCTTAATTTTCATTGTAAAACCAAAATATCCTCAGTCTAAATATGATTGTTGCAGTGCACTTTTCTTAATGCATCCAACCACCTATCCATCTAGCAACTATGTCCATTCATCTATCCAACCATCCATCCATCCTTCATCTCTCTATCCAGCCATCCAGCCATTTATTCATCTATCCAAAAATTCAACTATCTGATCATCCTTCCATCTATCCAGCCAGCCAGCCAGCAATTCAATTATCTGATCATCCATCCATCCCTCTCTTTCTCTCTCCTTCCATTAACCCATCCATCCCTCTACCTATCTGTTTATCTGTCCAGCCAGCCAGCTAGCCATCTGTTCATCCATTTATCCATTCATCTAAACCACTGTACACTCCATCTATGTACATACTGGTCCCCATGGTACACCACGAGTGATACAGAGAACCAGCCCTCTGCCCTGGATCCCTTAGAGTTCAACACAGTTTACCAAATGCAGCACAGCTTACCCAAAGAGCAAAAGGCTGAACCTAACATAATTTCCTGCTCCCTTTGAATTAAGAGGCACCTGTCATCTTGTCTATTGAAAGAAATATCACCAAACCAGAGCACAACCATCTGTCTGTTGTGGTGGGAGGCGTTGTGGAGGCAGCCATTGGAGCAAATGTGACAGTCCGGTGTCCTGTCAAAGGTAAGTGAAGTAATTCCCAGTGGGAGGATGTGTGACCGGCCAGTTACCAAGGGATGACTTCTGGCGTGTTATTCCAGATCTCTTCTGATAAGCTGAAACCTGATTTTCAGCACAGGGACAATGGATATGACTTTCAAGGCTGAGCTTGTGAGCCAGTGTATACAACACAGGGCAAAATCAAGTTTCTGGTGTGACAGTGACTGCAAGACCAGCACATGCTGTCGCATGTGCAGGTCTACAGCAGAGGACAGCTTTTGCTCAGATGCTTGCTTGGCAAACGAGGAATCCGAGAGAGGAGACTGGTTAGAAACATAGATGTGTCTTGCAGCTAGACAAAGACAATGCTCAGCAAAGCCAGGTCTGGACAGGAATGTGAAAGTCCTCTGCCTAAGCCTGTGCTGGACTCTCCTTGGTGGCCACCACTGGCATGCCTCAGTGGCTCTTTCTGCTGCCTTTATAGCTGCAGACAAACCTCCTTTCTGACAGACGAAAGAAACCGCACTTCCCGGCTAACTTGCCTGACCCAGGAGCACACCGTCTCTTTAAGCTACAGTCTTACTCTGGGTCCATGCTTCCCCAAAGTGCAGATAAACATTGTGTGCTGGACAGGTGTAAATTTTAAAGAGCAGGGAGGGATCGGGGTGAGGAGGTTGTGTGAACAGCTTTGTATCAATTCCTTAAAGAGACTTGGGGCCTCGAAATTGAGATCTACTGCTGTAAAGCAACTTTGCGTATGCTCTGGCTTCACTGGGAGTTGACTTACCTCCCTGAACAGCTGTATTTCCCTAATTTCCACATTTTAATGAGAGGCCTGTAGCTGCAGCCACTTCAGATGACTTCTGTCTGGGCTGTGGCCCAGAAGCCCAGGGTGACGGGTATGGTCAGGGAAGGTGCCTGTCCTGTCCTGGAAGAATCCGCAGTGAGGTACTGCTGCCCGTCCCTGTGACCATCACTCTACTGCACTCTGTTTCCAGAGGTGTGGCTTTGTGTTACCTGGGGTAGGAACTTGCTGAACCCCACGGTGTTACTTCTCACCACCCCATCAGTGTCCGGCCTGTGCAGACCTTGAAAACTCTCTCAACCTCCCCCGACTCTGCCCACAAATATGTGAGTTTTCTGGCAAACACACACCTACCCTTACAGAGCAAAGCAGCCTTCTCAGGCCACAGTGAGAAGAGCAAAAGGGAGCTTTACTAATGCCAGCCTACGGGTGCCAAGGTTTCTACAGCCGTCCACCTGCATGACTCTGAAAAATAGATCTGACTTCTAGGTAGAGAAACAGCAAGTTTTCACATTAGATGTTTTACTTCCCTGATCATTCAAATCAGGCTTCTAGGTAGGTGGGCCATTGAGAAGGTCTTGGCGTACTATTTGCTGTCCTAAGTCAGACTGGATTTGCTGGGAACTGTTTTGTGACAAAGGCTCCAGCAGAGGCCAGCAAACTGGTCTCAGGATTATTCTCTGCTCCAAGCCCGGGGAGCTGTCTCTGCCCCTCCCTGTTGTGCCCTGTGGAGACCCCACGAGCTCATCAGTTCTTTCCTTTTCAAAATAAGCCTGCCTCTAAGGCACCACAATCATCTTGAGTTATGTCCACTTTAAACAAACCCCGAGTGAACTTTGTGTTTTCTTATGGGCAGAAACCACAGCCAACTTAGCTTTTTATGGGGATTCGTCTTTTTAAAGACAAATGGTGAAGCTGTTGAGGATCAGAAACTCCAGTTTTATGGACAGTTCTGTCGCTAACCAGAGTGTAACCAGAGGTGAGTCATGTCTCTGTCTCACTCATCTGAAACAGGAAATACACTGTAGTGGTGAAAGAAAGGTCTTTGCCATCATTTAGTCCAGTCTTTCATTTTATAGCCTGAGTACATGATGGCATAGTTTACAAAATCAAACACTGTTCAATGAATTACATTTTCATATTGCAAATTGGGCTGTCTGTAAATCAATGGCAATACAATTTTAAACTATTATTTTTCAAGTGCTGTTAAAATATTTTCCACTAAAAAAAAATTTTTTTCCACTAATTACAATAAACTCGTTTGTGTAGATTCCATAGCACATATTCAGAACTTCTAGACAAATTCATAATTCTTTGTTACAGCCAAATGATAAAGGTATCCATTGTCATTGTCTCTACTTTTAGGCATAGCTCTAATTCTATTAACTAATAGAATCTGAAAATCTGGGCATTTCTAAAGGTTGAAAGTTCTAAGATGCAAGAGTTTTGTGTCTTCCTGGTTAAAAGAAAAGTTTCTTTCTAAAGTTGAGGGGTGACCATGCCCTCACTTGGACCATCTGGTAAGAAAGAAAGATGCTCTGAGGAAAGTGACCAGTAACCACTGACATCTGGGTACTTTTCTCACATTAGTGCATAGTAAGAGCACTGCTCACCCTATAATTTTCTGTCCTGTGTGTCTTCTGTTACTTGTTTCTTGTAATCCTTAAGCTCATGAGAGACGTGTCCAATGCAAACCCCTGTTCCAAGGGGTTTTGCTCTGGGTCAGGTTCCTCTTTAATCTCTCCAAAGCTCCCTTGGCCCCCAGATAGAAATTCACATGAGCTGGGAAGATGGTGATCCCAAAGTGGAGGACGCTGTCAAAGCCACAAATGACCTGGCAGCAAAAGCAGAAAAATCTTTCACACACAAAAAGGGCTGGACAAGTGCTGCTCAGCACAAAGGGAAATCAGTTGGAAGGTTGGAGATGTTTTGAAATTAAAACAAAGCTAAATAATAAGAACATCTTACAAGGCTACTTACAAAACAGTATACACATCTGCATGAAGAAGGAATTTCTGTAACTGTGGATGATACCAGGCAGCTGGTGCCTGGAGGCTGTACAGAGGACAAGTTGACAGTGGACACAGTGCAAATAAGTAAAAGTTTAAGACATTACCAACCCGAATCCAGCCACGTGGATGATAAGCACAGTTTCCCCCATGGACGCAAAATTTTTTAACACTTAAAAATGTCTGATTTAAACGGATACCACAGGCTGAATCCTCTGAAAGCAGATTCTGAGATGAAGTGTGGCCTGCAGGACAAAATGGACAGAAGGAAGCGAGTGGGGTGGACAAAGGGCAAATGAGATCGTGGTGCCCCCCGCAAAGCCTGGCCAAACCCAGGGGAGCTTTGAAGCATATTTGACCCTCAGAGTTGCCCTTCAGCAGCCCACTGTGGTGGGTGGTATTTGGGCCTTCATACCAAGGTCCCCGTCCAGCACTGGTCAGTGAGGAGGTCATCTTTCTTCATATCTACCTGGAAGGAAATAAAATACATGGTCATGAGTCAGGTGTGGGAGTACACTCCTGTAACCCCAGTATTCTGTGGGGCTGGGGCAAGAATATTGCAAATTTGAGCTCAGCCTGTGCAGTTTAGCAAAACCTCATCTCAAAACAAAATTTTTAAAGGTTGAAGGCAGTGCTGGAAATGTAGCTCAGTGCAAAGGCCCAGGATTCAATTCCCAGTACTGAAAAAAAAAAAAATGTGATTGTGATAATAGATGTAAAAAAGGTATTTGATCAACTTAAACACAAAGTGATGTTAAAACCTTTTAGCAAACCAATAACAGAAGAGATCATCTTTACTCTGACAATAAAAAAAATACTATTATGAATACACTGACTTTAATGGTGAAACTTTAAAACATTCCATTAAAATTAGGGAAAGAAAGGTAAGACACCCTTATACTGCATCTGTTCAACACAGCCTTAAATGTACTAGCCAACACAATAAGACAAGACTATTTTTCAAAGAAAATGGAAGTTTAATAATTAGAAATTTTTCTTCTCATTTATAGAGGGTATAATTGCGTTGAAAGTCAAAAAATATATATAAAAGTTTTAGATCTGTAAATTTAGAGTAGTTCCAATTAAAAAAAAATCTATGGGTTTTCTAGCACTTAATAAACTGATCCTATAATGAAAATGAAAGGGCAAGTGGCCAAGCATATCCCAAACATTTTGAAGAATAATAAGGTAGGGAAGATTTGCTCTACAAATGTAAAGACATTATGAAGCTAGAGGACTGACAACAATATAGTATTGTCAAGGGATAGACAGATAAATGGAATGAAATAGACTTCAGAGCAGATTCAAGCATGTATGGAAACTCAGAATTTAATAGCAATGGAATTAAAAATCAATAAAAGACAAACTATTGAGTAAATGGTGATGGGATAATTGGTAATAAATAAATAAATATTCCTACCAAAAACAAATTCTGGACTAGAAGGAATAGCTCAGTGGTTGAATGCTTGCCTGGAATACACAGACCCTGGTTTCAGTTCCTAGCACCACAAAAATAAAAAATTCTAGCTAGATTGAATGCTTAAATTATACATAATATATATCTTTATGACTTTTGTATAAGTAAATCACAAGCAGATAAATTATAAAATCAACTATTAGATAATGATAATTGTCCGAATCTATGAATATAGTAGAAGTACTACTCAGTTTTGCTTACTTTTAAAGAATGGATTTTATGATACATGAATTGTTGCTGTGCTTTAGATCTGAAATGGCCCCCGAAGGCCTCAGGTGCTCAGAGTTGGGGATTGAGAAGGTGACTGGATTACAGGAGAGCTGTGTCTCACTTGCTGTTAGGAGTTGGGGCCTGGTTGGAAGTAGGTCCCTGGGAATTTGACGCGGAAGGATGCATCTCCCTCCCTGGCTTCTCCCTTCTGTCCCAGCTTCCTGGCTACCATGGCAAGAACCCCTTCCCCCACTGCCTAATGTCTCTTTTTACCATACTGTGTCTGCCCTGGAATCAAAAAACATGCACCAAAATAAACTTCTCCTACTTGAAATTGTGGGTGTCAGGTATTGTGTTTCAGTGACAAGAAAAGTGACTAATGGTATATGGTTGCAAAAATTGAGATGTTTTGCTATGTTAGAATTTCAAGACAGAACCAACAAACTTTCTGGGAGAAAATATTAATATACAATGTATAAACACTGTATGAATAAATGTAAGTAACAGACCACCAATTTAAAAA